GTTTGTAAGACACATTTCATGCCTTTGAAGGATTTGGTAACTACTGAGCATGTCCTGTGTTCTCTTTACTCTCCTAACCTTCTATCTTGCTCCCAACAGCTCCTCTTTTAGATTATAAAACATGCAATAATCTGGAAAATGAAGCATTACTATAGACTTTTGAAGCTTCCACACTGACGCAGCATATGCTTTTATACAGTCACAATAGGAAAGCAGGTCTGAAAAAGCACATTAACAATGCCGACTTACAGAACAATGTAAGTAAACCCAGTAAAACCTCAGTGTTTCTGAAGATTCTGAAACTGCAGCTTAACGCATTGAGTACATTGTTACAACTTGGCAGAATACATCATTTAATGTTTTCAACATGGTTAACAGGCTGCTCCAGATCTAGAGGCTAGACAACACTAAAACAAAGTTTTTACAACTCTGAAGACAAAAGTGAATATTAAACTCCCAAAGACAGTACAACAGACACCACAAAACTGCTGCTAGGATGTTAAAGTAATTTCTTCACATTCAAGCAATGCTCGATTTCCTACACGAAACGTAACAGTATTCTAACGAAATAAAATATACTGTGAAATATGACTTTAAGCAGGTTGACTGTTATGAACCTTTCAGATCACAAGTACAGGGTACAAAATTTACGTCAAGGTTTTTCTAAAGGTGTGTGCTATATTTCTGTTTTCTATACCAATTGGAACAAAAGAGATTCAACTTAAACTTACTTCAACCTCTGCTTCAGGCACATCCCAGTTGTTTCAAGCAGCCTCTCGCCCCTCCTATTTTCTCAACCCTATGGATGTTGTCAGTTTCATCCAATCTGTGCTTCAAGCATGCAATCACAGAAGTCTCATACTTTTGTACTGTGCCTTGCACTGCAATCTTTGCTGTACCCCATGATTTACTTCAGCATAGATTAGTCCAGATCCAACATGTCCATCACCATTGTCACAGTCTAATTCAAGGATTTACAGCCTAATTTATCTAACTCCAGTAATAAAATAGCATTTAAAATGAACGTGTAGCATACAAGTTGTTTATAGAACTACTCTCTCGTTCTGTCTTTCCACGACATTCAGTACTACTCTGTCAATAATACTGACACAGAACATGGCCACATTAATAACTATCACCTTGTTTCAAAGACACAGATTCAATAAAGTGGTTACATCTTCACCTTCATAACTTGTAAGAAAACCTCATAACTATAGCAATGGTCATGACACGGCTGTGTTCTCCAGTAAGTTTTGCTCACAATAGCTATTGGAAGTTTTCAGCCAAAAAACCTGCACAACCAGTCTGTATTCATGAACAATATGTTTTGTGTATCACTGCTACAGCAAGTCAGGAATGTGCAAATCATCTCAATAGAAACATGAACCGTTACATTTATCTGTCTCAGAGAACCAATAGCGGAAAAAAAATCACCTCATTAAAAAAATATGGAAAGATACTCACTTTTACATTCCTGATGCTCTCTTCTACCTCCTATACTTTTAAAGAACATTGTAAAGAGTGATTATGGCTATGATCAGATTTAAATCAAGTGTTTTTCTAAATTCAGAACAAGTTTTACAAAATTTCTTTCTCTTTCCTACGTTGTAAGGGTATCTTTAAACAGAAGACAAAATTTCAGGAGAGTTTTGAGAAACACTACTTAGCCTTAAACATTACAAAACATTACAAAACACTATAAAAGAATAAAGCATTAGCATTAATTCAATCCAGTCCTAACCATTTCAGCCTTACACCTATAGAACTAAGAGATACTTAAAAAGCACAGCAAGAAAAATTCTTTCTCAAAATACTGTAATGTTTTAGGCAAATTTTCTCCAGCAAGATCAAACTTTGCAATGAAGAAATAGTCAGAATAAGAAAGGAAATGCCTTGACATATTAAGAGATAAAGAACAAGAGAGCATCAAAAGAAACAAGGTCCTTCCTGTCATGCCCAGGACAATGACTGTCACCTGCAGATGAAAATGAATGTTTTACGCCTTCCACCTGAACTGAAATGAACACGCCATCTGAGTACAACCCAAAGAGTATCAAATCCAGCAGTTCAGGTAGTTAAGAGACACGGGAAAAGTAAAAGCAGAGAGGAGGATTTTCCATCATTTTTCATTGAATACACACTCATGACACTTCTGTGTGCAGTCTGGGTTGCAAAACTGCGCAAACACCAATAGAATGTGTGACAGAAAATTTTGTTATTCTTTTCTGGATTTCACCTGCACTGACACATCTCCTTCCTGTCTGAAACCGACAATGAAAGGGAGTAATAGTACACCTGCAGTCTCCTCCAATGATGAAAATATGTATAATTAAAACCTAAGTTCAGACGATTAATGGCATCTGATACTGGTTTACAGTTACAGATACATATTCTTAACAAAACAATACACTAATTATTTTTGATATTAAATTACCTCTGATAACGTTGAGCTCTTTATGACACAATATGGAACTAGAAAAACAGAGGTACATGGCATTCTATTGCTGAATTTACTATTCAGTCACACAAAACCACAAATTAAAACTGAAAGAACAACTGTTTTAACTCCCATGTTTTTAGTGGTGTGGAGTATTAGCTTGTTTTATAATAAGCTTCTGAAATATATTTGGGTACCAAAATACATTGTAGTAAAGCTCAGCATAAAGCACAAAGGGCAATAATTGGATAAATAATCTCCATTATAGTCCTGTATCAGATAAGCATTAGATGAGCCTGGGTATTAAGATGTTACAAACCCCAAACTTCTTTAGCACTTCAGAAAACACAACAAACTTATTGCAAGAAATGGAGATCACATGATAGCTATACAGGTCAGTATATGTAAGGTAACCAGGATAATAAAAAAAACAGTGATTTCTGTTTTCACTTCAGCATCCATGCACCACATGTAAGATACAAAGAGGAAGCTGACTGAAGGGTAGCTCTCTCTTGATTCCAGTTTTATTAATCAGCTTAATTTTCACTGTGTCAATTAAAAGACAGGGATTTAAAACCAAAAGAACTGCTTCTATTTAGGTACAGTAATTAAGCATACTACAGTAAGCACTACAGTTTCCACTAGCAGTGCAGGATTAGTCTGGGATCTACCCAAGACCAAAAATTCTTTAACGGTACAGACTAAAAATTAGAAATTAAAAATATGAGAATTTTCAGTAAGACTATATTATAGAATTAATTTTTATTATAATGCAAGCATTCTGTGATAGCTGTTCACAATGCATTTCTTTAAAAAAAAATTAAACTCACATGCTAGTATTTACAGTTCTTCTAACAACACTCCAAAACTTGTCTCTTTTCCTCTTTAAAACAAAACTGAATTCATAACTATTAAAAAACCTCTGCTAACATGCTAATAAGTGTACCAAGTATCAAGACAAAGGCAAATGGGCAGCTTTTTGAACCTTTGTTATTTTTATGACACATGTAAGAAAAGCAGTTAACATAGTAAACATCACCTGTACCAATTAAATTTAAAAGCTACTTTCAAATATTGCCAGTCTCTTTTGCTAAGTGGTTGTCTTTCAAAACAATAATCTGATATTACATATGCCATTCTATGAGCATTGCTTAATTTATAGAAAGTAGATTTTTTTAGCATGTGTTGTAAAATGAGGGTTACAATGAAGATGGCGACCTACTTTAAATACTTCCAAGAAAAATAAAGGACACTGGGTCCCCATAGTTCACTAAATTAAAGAGCCCTTATTTATAGTTTGGGTTATTACTCATTTTGTGGTTGTTTTTAAGAATGAAAGCAGCAATACATTTGGAGAGCTAACAGTCACAAAAGTGTATGTAAAATACACTACTTTTGCTGAATACTACGCATATAACTTCAAAAATCTATGTTTAGATGGGGGCATTGAAACTTTTTGGAGCAAGGAGTTTGTGATTTATATGGTAAAACAGTTCTTTGTGTGTTCTGCACAAATATTTGGGATCTAAACATTACTTGTTTTCTTAGCTTTAAATTTCCACTCAACTTCCAGCTAAAAAGCACTGGCATCAGATCTCTGAATTCTCTTATCCTTTAGAAGATGTTTTGTTACACAGATTTTTAGGTCTGGCGCTCTGCTTTTCAGCTGAAATCCAGTATTTTACCTGTCAATCTACACTGTTCTGAAAAGAAGTCTGTCGCTTCAAAAAATGTAATGTTTGAAGCAGTCTGCTAAAATCTAGCACAGATAGCTTAGCCCATGACTCAACAGGATAACAGATGAAGCTTTATGGATCTTCATATGACATCAAAAATAGTACAACCTCCTGCCAATTTGAACTGACTTAAGGACTTTCTAACTTTATTGTTTTAAAACTCTTTTCAGGTTTTCCAGTGAGTTAACTGAAACCTGGATCATATACCACCTACCTGAAACACTCAACTAGATGCTGCCCACATCTGTAATAAAAATTCCATCCGCATAAATTCTGTATCTCACTTGTTGGACTAAGCAGAAATGTGATCCCACAGTCAAAGCAGTACTGCTTGGTGACCTAAGACTGCACAGTTCCAGTAGGAATAGCTGTAGATTCACGATCTCATGTAATTACTCTGCGTTTCTTTGTAATTTGGATGAGTAGTATTATCAGAAAGGGGAGAAATATTTCCACAATCGCTATGGTGTAAGACAGCATAAAACAACTTCAAGCATCTCTAATGCTAACCAGTGAGGTAGATTCATTCTCCTAAGTATCTTTTGTAACAAACTCTTTCATTGAACTATGCTCTCGAAAGATACAGTCTGCAAATGAATCATGGTCTAATCAGCTATGAGCCTGTTTTATATGTTTGTGTTATTGAATGGGAAACTTTCACACTGAAATGAACATCAGAAAAGTCTAATGCAATAAGGCTGTCCTGTTTCATAAAATAAAATGTAGACTAATCACCTAAGAAAACAATTAAAAAAAAAAAAAAAAAGAGATAGAGAAAGAAATCTGTATCCTCCTAATCTTTACTGAAGGTAAAAATGTCAACTTACCAGACTTGTGCTTCTTGTGTTTTACTTTCTTTTTAATTATAAACAACTTGTTCTGGATCTCAGATTTGTAAGATTTGAATGGATGAAGATGAATCTCACGCTTTCTTTGCAAGTCATCGAGTTTTCTCTGTAGATTCTCATTTAGAATATCCTTCAACTTCTTTTTTTTCTTTTTCTTCTTCTTTGCCCGCAACTTATTTAGTTTCTCACTATTTTGCAGCGAGTTCTCTAGCATTGTTTCTTTAGCAGATTCGTGGCAGTTTATGTCTTGGTTGTCATTATGTGTGCCATTGACATGCATCTGGCAAGCTTTCAGTGTGTTCTGCTTGAATGTACTGATCTCAGTTTTTACTCTGGCCATTTCAGCCCAACCTTGACCATTTTCCATAGCCCTTATTTCTCCTGAGCTAGGGTCACCACCCATACCAACAATCTCTCCTGAACTAATCAAATTCAAGTTCTCTTTATAGCAACCAGTTGTTTTCATGTCACAGACTCCTGAGGTCTTGCTTTCACAGTTTATCTCCTCTGTAGTGACTCTAAAGCTACCTAAATGTGGATTTTTTTCTGGACAGATAACAACAGAGTCCATACTTTTCTCTACTTCTGTCTTGGAATGATGTAGCAGCTCTTCTCTACCACGAGAACAGACCTCCCCATTGCTTTTGCTTACATAGTCATGTTTCACTTTCTCCAATTTAATACGTGACACTTTTTTAACTTTGATGGGAGGAGATGGGAACTCAGGAGCCTGAAAAGGTTTTTGTTTGTAAATCCGAACATCTGCACCACAGAACTGTGGAAAATGAACATATGCATTCTCCAAGTAGTCATAACCAAGAATTACTTCTCTGCATTCGTGGATAGGCTGACCTAGCACTGCATCCTGAACATCCTTTTGTGTTTCATACACAAAATCACAGAGACCTTTTAGCAGCCACACTTTTTGGTAGAATGGCAGCTCATGAAAGGATTTTTCCTCCAAGGGATTAACTTCTCCAAGGACTCTGAAAAACTGGGGACACAATCCAAGTTTTTCTGCAGAGCTATTAGGATTGTCAGTCTGCCCTACAACAGTATACCAGTGTTGTACTTTCTGTCTGAGTGCTGCTTCCCAAGTCCTGTAAGAAAGTGTAGGCCTGCGATGTAATGTAGATCTGCGATGAGGAGGACTTAACAAAGAAGTCATTATTTTAGATAAAAAAGCATTACACTGAGGCATCAGAAGACAACGTTCCAATTCATAGAATACTATTTCTGGTAAATTTAAAATCTGTTGTGCTAAGCAAAGAAAATGACCAATAGCTGGAATCTCCCACATTGTCTCCATCCTTGTAGGTGCTGCTTGAGCTAAAAGTGACTTTTCCCATTCTTCTATTTCTTTCTGACTAGCTTCTTCCGCTTCTTTTCTTTCTTGCTCTCTCAGCCTATTAAAAGAAAGTTCATGAAAATTCATATATCAGGTGAACGAAATTGTGGAGAAAAAAGTCAGAACTACAGCATGACAAAAATACTTATCATGAATAAAGAACGCATTACATGAAGTTTTAATTCAGTTTGTCTTACTTTGGATTACACAACACATTACTGCACAAAAACGGGAAATTATAATCTTATTTCTATCACCACTAGTTCAAAAAAGGGAAAAAGCCATGAGAAAAACCTGATAGATATCAATAGTTTGGGTAGCTTAGATTTTTCTTTTAAAATGTATTCCCTTCCCCATTCCCTTTTTGGCAGGATTAAGTATTTCCTACGAACCATCCATATAAATATCTCTAAGTATTTCCTACAAACTATCCATATAAGTATCTCTGAAAACAAATTCCAGGTAAGTCTTGCTTTTGAATGGTTGCCCTGTGGCTTGTGTCACCTACCTTTTAACTCCTTCCTCAGCACACAAGTAGACATGCCTAACTGTCAAGTGCTTCATTCCCTTACAAAAACCACTTCCCCTCCCACCCACAGGGGTGTTATTAGTTGGTTTGCAATGGTGGTCAAAAAGTAAACAAATACCAGGATGCATGAAGAATGTGATGGAAAATAACACCAGAAATAAAATGCCATTACATTAATAAATGGTTTGCCCTCACCTGAAAAACTGTATTCAGTTCTGGTCCCCCTATCTAAAAAAAGGATAGAGCAGAAATAGTGGGTATTCAGAGAAAGATGTTATCAGTAATCAGAGGCCTGTAAAAACTTCTGAAAAATCTGGGACTCTACACAAAATACTAGCAAGAGGAAACATGACAGCAATATACAAAATTAGTACGATAGACTGGGAACTTTTATTTACTTTTATTTGTAAATTCATCATGAAATTTAAAGGCAACAAGTTTAAAAGGAAGAAATGCTTCCACTTCAGATAATCAATCATGTTACCATCTAACTTACTAGCACACAGGATGTGTTAATTTAGTTCCAAAGTGAAAAATAGCACAACTGAATGAATCACTAGAATACAAAGAGTTACCAGTAACAGGAGGGATTTTTCTTTAATGTTGCAAAGGTAAATTAACACTTTTGCCTCAAGGCATGACCATATTCCAAAACATAGGATTAGGATACACCTGTACTCACAAGCAAATTTTTTTAGAGCTCATCCAAAGCTTCTCATATCTTTTTCTCTGAAGCTTCTATCACTGACCATTGCTAGAAATAATCACCTGCATGTATCACTAATATGACCTGTTACTGGAATTTACATGTCCTTATTTCCAGATCACTAACCTCCAATTATATTTCTTTGTATATAAGTAGTAAATAAATGCCATGTATCCATTCAAAGCATGAATGCTTTCCAAATTCAGCCAGAGTCATATTATATTAAGCTCTTTCTTTTGATAACATGAAGCTAATAGTGGCTTCTAGGATGAAGAATGTGTATTTGAAGCATTAAATATTGTCTAGATATCTCAATAATGTAAAAAATGCAACATATCTAGCTTAGCCCACATTTTGATATCAATGCAAGAGAAATGTGCCATGACCACAAGCTTTAAATTTGCATCTTCTGTGTATGCAAAATGACAATATAATACAGTAAGATTCCACTCAGTGCTTTATATAAATTTCAAGTGACTTGTTACCATAATTTGAACAGAAATGCATCCTTGTTATTTATGCACCTATCAAATGCAGAAAGACAGATCTACGTAAAACAAAATTAAAATGTAAAAGCAAACAGGTCAGTAAATTCTCAACTTCATTCTCCCAATGCAGCATTAATTTAACGAGTACAATGGATGGGATCTAAAGACAAAATTCCACTTTGCAGCACTAATCTAAACATACAATGAATGTGGTCTAATGGCAAAATCCCACTTGCCATTCCAGGTAAATAAGCCAGTAAATTCAATAATACTTGCATAGGTAAAGTGAGCATCTTTTTTAATTCTGACTTTTGCTCCATTTCCATGTGTTAGTATTGCATTAATACGATAAATAAAAACAAATAACTTGCAAGTGGGGCAGAGGAAAAAATCATAGTAAGTAAAAAATGTTCTCAAAAATAAATTTCAAAGTATTCCTGAATCCTACTCCCTCCTAAATGTAAAACATACTTCCAAATAACCTGCTGCCTCCAACAGGTGTGAACTCTATTAAAATAGTATGGGAATAAGCTTAAATATGAATAGACATAAATATGTAAATATGACAGTGTGACAGAACATTTGCAGAAACAATCACATTTCAGTATCGTTTAATAAAAACACAAGCTGTAGATGATATAAAAATATCACCCTTGCAAGCAGTTTCAAGTTATCATCAATTAATAATTTAAATTAAGGTAGAATTCTAAAAATAAACACACTACCCTAGATTCACTGACATACTTCATAAAATGACAATTATTATAGTATTCTAAAGATCTTTCTAAAAAGAAAAATGTGTTGTTTCACTCGCAAAAAATTTGCCTTTTTTAATGTTATAATTTTATCACAATGTCTGTAGTCATTCCATTTCCAGTAGACATTCAAGAGAAAATGTAAACAATAGCACACTTTCCTGTCTTCATTACTGAGATCTTCCTACTAGCTGCCCATCTTTTGGAGGGCATAGTTTTTTCCTGGGGTGTTTTTTTGTGAGGGAGGAGGGGGGTGAAGAGGGGAGAGGAGGTGGGGCAAGGGAGCAGGGGTGTTGAGAGAGAGAGAGAAACATTTGATATTTAGCAGGACAAATATCCTTACACTGAGAAGTGCTCTGGACAAATACATTTGGCTTTTATGCTCACAGCAATTGTAAAGAACCTGTTGTTTTACACTTTTATCTACATTTATCAGGAATATATTTGTGGACATGTATTGTGTTTACAATAATAACACACAAGTTATTCTATAGTCAAGCTGACATTTCCAGACTAACAAAGGACAAGCATATTCCTTGAATATGACTGCAGCACTTGTTTTGCAGCTCTTGAGTGGATAAAACCATGGCACCTGACCTTAAATCTCAGCAGACATTCTATTCTATTCTCCTCATGTAGAGATACCACCTAAACCAGAGGCCCGACATAACTGCCTACTTTCCTTATCATTCTCCCTTAAGACAGCAGACACACCCCACCACCTCACCAGCTAATTCCTTCTCACTTGCAACCACAGATTTCAATTGGAAAGAAGGCAGAGACTAGATTGTACTCCTCCCCACCCCCCCACCCCCCAATACCGCTTCTAACCCCCTACTTCAGCGTTGAGTAATTTTTCACAGGTAAAAGGTAAGGCATTGGAACTCGGATGACAAGGTACAGAGAACTGTTTTAATTCTACAATAACTTGTTTCTACAAACAGATAAATAAACTACAAAGCTATGTACAAAATTGCATTACACATTATTCTAGATTAAATCAAGACTTAAGAACAACTTAAGTTTGAGATGCCCATGTGACCTTAATTCTTTAGCTACAATGTCTTAACATCATATTATGAGCTACTCTGTATTTTTGCATAGGACTCAGTTCATTCCATGCTCGTATCCTGATAAAAGGCAAAACTGACTGTATAAACATACCTCATTCCACAATTTGCTAATTTAAATGACTAACTTGCAACCAGAATTGAATTCTTCAAATGTTTTAAAGAACATGTTTGAAACTTACCCCAGGATCACCTTTTCAGAGATGGTAATGACATAGAGCTGCCTAGCACAATTTTCAACAAACCGAAGTCATACACACACTTAATTCCCATTGAAACCAACCAGTCATTCACTGGTGTTTTCAAAAATTTCAGTAGGAATCTACCTCTATATTTCAGTATCTAAATGCCTCCAAATAGGCATTTCCAATTCTATAATAATTCCACAACTAATTGTACAACTATACGTAAGTAAGTATGTATATTGATCCTACTTAATTAGCACGCGACCAAGCAGCTCATAGAATCTCATGGAAATGTAACTAATAATCCAAAGAAGATATTCAATATTCTAATAATTAAAACAATTGAACAAAAGGAAGGCTTATAAACAAGACCGTCAAGAAAAGTAAATCAGATGTTGTTATACGTATACTTGAGGGAGAAAAAGTGTTTTTGCTGTTGTACAGAAACTATTAGCTGCAAAACAGTGAAATTAGCTTTGCAAAGACTTCTCAGTTTTTACATCTTGAGTCTACCATGATGAATGTATCATTTGGAGGAGATTATAAAACATTAAATAAAGAAAAAATAAAATAGATTGTGCAAGAAACGGATAAACTATAACAAAGAAAAAGGAAGACTCTCTCTACAAACGATACCTATACAACAAAAATAACTAAAGGATTTGGAGTAGGATTTCCATGAAGTTAACTACGGAAAAGAAGATAAAAAACACACTTCAGGGTATTCTTCCAAAATATGCAGCTGAAAAAAAGCTTATAAGATAAATTTCAAGGATTTTAGGGGGAAAAAAAAGAAATTGAAAACTATTTTAAAGATTTCATTTACTGCAGTTTTTTCTACTCATCATAAGATGCTGTGCCCTACAAAAGTATCTAAATATCCGAGGCAAAGGATTAGATATTAACTCGGACTTCAACAGGTAATTTCTTTAGGTATGAGGCTAAGTTTTCTAGAAAGGCACTTGCATTTGCAACATTACTTATCTGGGGCTGTAAGTATGTAACTCCTAGTGAGGTGGCTAACTAGTCTAAACCAAGATAATCACTGGCTAGAAAGTCCATGGATGCTGAGGGGTCAGCTGGATGGCCAGACAGTGAGCACTTTTTGATGTTCCTGATAACTCACCTGCAAGTTGGGAATAGTAGGTCCTGCCTATCCAAACACAACTGATTTGCTGGCACACAAGCAAGCTGTACTACCACAACATATACAATGTTAGGTGGAAAACCAGCAGCAGAGCAAGACCAGGAGGAAGGCAAAGCTCAGTACAGTAGAAATTAAAATTCTAAATAGTTTACCCACTCGTTTGAGTTGACCACCACAGTCACTCATAATTATACTCTGACACAGGACAGCCTATATTATAGCAACAGAAATGGACACTCATTCTTTTACAACAGTGATGGAAGACGAAGTGAAACAATCAATAATAAGTAAAATAATCTGCATCCACTGAAGTATCACTTTAGCACTTAGAATACAGTTTATACCATGACTTCTACTGGGATACACTAAAATAAATAGAAATCCTGCATTAACACTTCATGGCCTGAAAAAGATGTGGATAATTGCTCAGAATCACGGAATTTTCCTTGCAGATTTAGTATAAGCTTTAAACAGGTATAAATGCAATTTCAGTTCAGCAAACTTCATTTTTGTTACCAAAAAAATGAAGAGTGAGTGAAAGCCAAATTCAGTAATGAAAACGCACATCTGCCAACAGACCAAGACTAGCTCTAAGGAATACTGCAATGGGGTTACCAGAAGGACAGCACTGTGCACCCCATAAAACTACCCAAGTTTGCAATCTTGCATATAGTTTTGAAAGTAAGAACAGTTAAGAAAATATTTGAAGCATGATTATTTGAGGAGATCAATATAGAGTCAAAGAAATATTCAACCAGCTATCTACTGACACACTGCTTCCTAACAAGTGACCGAGTTCAAAATTTTAGGGCATCAAGAGGCAAGCCAGCTGTGATCTTTTTCTGTTATTGTAGAATATTCTGCATAATCAACTACCAAGGAGTAACCTTTGCATAGGATCTGGAACTTTTGAGGATATACAGATACATGGATTTAACTGTTAGTTTAACTACGGTTTTGCAGGAACATGCTTAAAACATGCATGAAAGCAAAATTTTTATTTCATCGGGTAATATGTTCTACTGACTTTATGGATGAATTAAAACCCAAACAAAATGTCCTTTGTCATAGCAGCATTATCAAGCTCAGAGATCTAGAACACAGAATTGAACATAAAAGAGAATTTTAGCAGAGAAACAATAACCCTAGTGATATTTCCTTTTTTTGCAAAGTATGAGGTGGATTAGAAGAAAAAAAGATCCACTAATTTCTAGGGAAAAAATCCTGGCTAACATTCAAGTCAGCCAAAACTGTATGGCTTCAAATACATTAAAAATTAAGATTACCTGCAAAATGACAGTGAACTGGTTATATATGGAAAAAACCTCCAAGACTGTGAACTTTGAAAAAAAGCTCAAAACATTTTGCTTCCTAAAGCTTATCACGCTCCATGTTCAGACTCAGTCTCTCAAGTCACTGTTAAAGTATACAAGCTTGTAAGCTTCACTTTCCTCAAAGCAAAACATGTCACAATCAACACTAAACACTGCCTGGAACTATATACCTCTTAAATTTATGAAAAGCACAAAATTAAACAGAGTTAATTACACACGCACTCTAAATTTGTTACTTAAATGACCAGCTGAAACACGACATCAGTGAGACAGCAAGAGTGGCACTGGCAGAGATACTTTGCTCCTGGCTATCACTGAGGGAAGCAGTGACAAGATCACAGAATTAGACTGTAGTTAAGCATTCTGGTAGTTTTTAATCTAATTGATGCATGGAAAACAGTCCAATGAGAGGTACAATAAACTATGACTGAGCTAACGGGAAACTGCTGTGGATGGTTTTAGTTACTATTAACAGTTTCACAATCCTTAAATATCAGCAGCCTTAATTTATTTAAAAGCTTATATGACTTTAGCAATTTTTCAAGAAGGATGTAAATCAAAAACTAATTTCATGTTTTGTGGATGGATGCACTGTATTGATGTCCTAGGTTCATTCATGAGCTTAAGACAAAGAGTACCACAACATTTATTTACCTAAAAAAGTCTTAAGGAGCTAACCCCTGTAGAGAACCAGAAAGATATAATTATTTAAAACCAAAACAAAACAGTTTTTCCTACTACCTCTTTTCCTCTTTTGCTCTCAGCTGTTCCTCTTGTCTTAGAACTTGAACCATCACAGACTCAAACATGCCTGTTGACAAGCCTACTAAATTGCGAGGCGTGGAACGACGTCTTGTTGAAATGCATGCCGTTCCTTTCTCATCTTCTAGCCCATAGCATCCTCTAGATGTTACAGCTATTGATGTTTTCTCTCTTAAATGCCTAGAAAAAAAAAAAGCAACCCAAACCACAATTACGATTTCTCTTACCAAACAGCACTTCAATGCCTCCACTACCACCCACAGATGAAGCATATTTATTCAGAAAAAAGCAGTTATTTTTCACCCGCCACTTTTGCCACTTTTAAAGTTCCTTTACAAAATTTTAAACTTAAAACCAACATTAGCTATGTTTTCACATCTTCTAAAAATGGTGGTTATTTATCTCAAGTAACACAATATTATTTGGAGACTGAATGTCCTACATTAATGCATAAATATTTGAAAAGAAAATACTTCCACAAGACCTGAGATAAGAAAGTATCACTTTTAGAAGATACTTAAAAATGCTGAAAAAACAAAAGTGCCCTTGTTGGTTTGGGTTGGGGGTGTGTGCGTTAAATAGCAGTTTTGTTAAAAATTAAAAAAGATGAAATGCAAAACATTACAAATTTGGTTGCAAAGTTATGTTTCATCTTACACTGTTTCAAAGTACTCCAGCAAAATTGGTACAAGAAGTAACACTATCACACAATCTCTGAACATATTTCAGGAGAGGGGCAAACCCCAACCTCCACACAAAAGCAATGTCCATTCTAAGGAAATTTTCTGTGCTTTGTAATGTCTAATAACCATGCAACCAACATTGATCGCTTCCCTTGAGTCACTTATGGGGATCATTGAGCTAAATACTGCTCTTCAATGAAGTAAGAATGATTATTCCAAGAAGCAGTTCTTGATTTTAATTTTACCAATAAAATTAGTTCTGTTAAACTTAAAACAATTCTGTCTGATCAAAAATTGTAAAATAACTTTTGAGACTTCTTGATTCCATAATCCTTTCTACATACAGTTCTTAGAAACTTTTACTGAGCTAGTGTACTGAACAAATCTTTACAAATCTCTGAAGAGTTAATACAAGAGAAATTCACTATGTACTGAGATAGGATTATTTTTAGCCAATTTAATATTTCTTAATATTTATTTGAACAAAGACTGTGCCTTTGTGAAAGAATGACAACAGCAATTGAATTCTTCTCATAAACACACACATCGCTATTTGATGATACAGTACATAAATTAACTCCACTTTCTTATGGAGTTTCTAACAAAAAGGCATTGAGCATTCTTGGATCCCACTGACTCCCATGAGCAGTTATATAATGCAACAAAGAGCCTTCAACAAAATGCCCTTCAATTCAATACAGCTGAGATGTTATATTCACACAACATATAGAAGTTAACTTGGCACAAATCTTCCAAGCTGCATTTGATCAGCTATTTATTTGCCAGTAGTGACCCTTTTAAGCCAGGAATTCTGATTTTTTTTTTTTTTAAATCAAGTTTTACTCAAGCAAACTAGCAACATTCATGCCCCATTAGGTTCAGCTCCTTCCCTTCTACTCCTAAACCATCCCAAAATTGCTGTTATGAAAAAAACAGTTTCAAATACGGTGTTGCTACACCAACACAGAATACATTCACTCTGCCTATTCAGTTGAGTTCTGCAGCAGACTCCTCAAGTGTTCCTACTACCCAAACAAGGTTCTTCTCACAAGCTGGCAGCTAACGCTCTGTGTCACTAGCAAGTTCAAGGTTGACGGACATACACAGCTTTACACATTTCCTAATACTATTCCTTCTTCACCCTTTGCAAAAAAAACCTCTTGGTTTTTACACGCAAAATACTATGTTACTCAGAAATCTGGTGGACCTTTCACTGTAAGAAGCCTGAATATGACTAAACTAAGGCTATGTCAAACTCATGAGAAAGCAGGTATTTCAGTCACGGTGTTCACTGGGCTTTCTACTTTATAGCTTGACAGCTTTCTATGCTTCAGCTGCTTTGGCTGATAAACAAATTCCTGCCAGGGGCTAACATTTAAACATATCACAATTTCAGTTTTGCCATTTAAGACTATAATATGCCAAGTATTATCTTTCATTTTATGACTATCAAGAAATATGCAATTTCAAAGCAGGTACTTTGTATCGATTTTATTCCTACGTAAAGACAGTAAAAATTCCAGACTGTAAAAACCACAATTTTAAAGAGCCAGATGTTCATACACAATTTGGGTAATTCTACTTGCTTTTGGCTGCATAAATTAAAGAAAGGAGCATTTGACATCATGTCTAAACAAGTGTGCCTCCACATTCATAAAACGCTTCTTTCAGAGGGAAAATCTTAGCCAGGAAATGCTGTGCCCTATTTTGCAGTTTGGTATTTTCGGGTTTGGAATCTCCAAAGCATTGCGAATTAAGATTGAACAGCTCCCAGTCGGACACGTTCCTCTTTGTGGAAGTATTGTGAGTTTGAGTGCTTTGTTTTTTCTTTTAAAACTGTGCAAATGGTATTTTTTACATACAGAAACATGCCCTCCTGTCCTACTTTATGTAAACAGCATCCAGCAGGGACCCTACATAGTTTTCTACACCTACCGGGACAGCAGCGCAAGCTTCTGTTCCAGCATCATCTCCAGCTTCTGGGCCTGTTTGGAAAGCCAGTGATCTACACCATGCAGCCGGTAACATGTCTCCAACATAAGCCGGAAGTCACCCACAAAATCTGCTATCCCTGTGTACTGCCCACTGGAAAATTTCTCTTCCATCTTCAACAGCCACATTCCAGCCGGCGACTGCTGAAAGGAGTGATTGTTGCTATAACCCGAGAGGCAGCCAGCTTCTTCTTCCCTAACGGATGCCTGATCCGCGAGGGGCTTCAAAAATGGTGCTGTCAGAGGTCGGTACTTCTCCAGGAGAAATTCGCGCAAGATGCGGTATCCCTGCTGCAGCTCGGGATTCAGGCTCTGCTCCCAGGAACAGCCA